AGGAATTTAAAGATTTTGATCTTGGCCACTGTCTGCCTGGAACTTAAGGTCAGTGTTAAATCATTCTCCTGTGTAAATGTGCACCGAAAAAAATGTTCATTAGAGAGCTATCTAGGTTTGTGAAGTGTTGTAACTGACCTAAAGTTCAAGGGCCACAACATCTTTATTTTCTCGCCCAGCGTGGGGAATTGCAGCTATTTTGTTTGGTACGTTGGTTCTTTTTACCCGGGACCAATTCTCCTGTGTAAATGTGCACCGAAAAAAATGTTCATTAGAGAGCTATCTAGGTTTGTGAAGTGTTGTAACTGACCTAAAGTTCAAGGGCCACAACATCTTTATTTTCTCGCCCAGCGTGGTGTACTCGCCACAAAACGTTCACCCCTAAGACGTCATGTTAGATGGGCTCATTTTAAAGATTATAAATAGAGAAAGTAGAACCGGGGGTCTGGGGGGGTATAGAATGCCTACCAGGAGACAAAAATTCAACATAAGATTGTCATGTACTGGGGTGATATGCATACACTCCAGACCCGTCGGTGCTACTTTCTCCCACAAAACTAAGAAGTCACGTTAGATGGTCTCTTTCTAAAAATTATGGTGTAAATGCTAAGTAAAAGCAGTAAATATTTTGAGAAGAATGTAAAACCAAGGGATCTGGAAGTTTTGGAATATCCCCCAGGATGTGGATTGACGATAGGAGAACGAATAGGGTCCACGTGTGCCTCACTACCTCCCTGATTAGATTCGTCCGATCCCTCAACGTCACTTAAGCCATCCCACACGTGATCCTTCTGTTTTGTTATTTTCTTTTATGTATGTTAGGATCTATTTTATTAGTTTGGAACTTTTTTCTTTTTTTGTTTAAGTATAGATTACACTGTTGTACACTACTTTACTTTACTATGTCCTGTAATTGAGCGATAAGCCTGTAGTGTAGGGCAATAAATAAATAAATAAATATAAATAAATGAACCGAATGGTACTAGAAGGAGTGGCGAGTCTAATCCCTGTCCTGTCCTGTAATTGAGCGATAAGCCTGTAGTGTAGGGCAATAAATAAATAGATAAATATAAATAAATGAACCGAATGGTACTAGAAGGAGTGGCGAGTCTAATCGTAGCCTCAGTCTCAGTTGGACTAGTGCGGTACATTCACAAAGTATGTGGTGTGCCGTCTCTTGCCTGTCCTCCAGAATATGGTGATTCTACCAAACCTCTGAGGTGCATGTGTTTAGTTTGCAGTACCCAGAAAGTATACCCACAAGTAACATCAGGTTCTTTTCTCCCCCAGGAAACAAACATTCAACATTCCTTTTCCTACTATTCACCCCCTACGCACTTACTTTAGATTGTTCCTTTTTAAAAAAAGTACAGGTAGTGTAAGTGCTAAAATGCAAAATCGGGGGAATACCCCCCCAGGAAACAAAGAGTCAACATTCCTTTTCTTACTAAGTATGATATGATTTTCGTGTAGGTACTGGGGTGATATTCCATACCCTCCACACCCCCGGTGTTACGTTCCCACACAAAACGTTCATCCCTAAGAACTCACGTTAGATGGTCTCTTTCTAAAAATTATGCTAAAAACACTAAATATTTTGAATCTGGGGGTATTCTCTGGGGGTATGGAATACCCCACAGGAAACAAAGATTCAACATTCCTTTTTTGAAATAAATTTGTCAATTGTCAATTAATTATTTGGTGTGATTATTCGATCCGGATAGAGTTTTTTTCATGTCAGTTTTTTCTATTGTTGCCCAAGATTTATGTCAAGTGCTGGTCAAAATTTGTGTAATAAATTCTTTGGATTTTTTCTTTCAAATGGAAAAATGCCAAGTTAGTATTGGGATTTTTTCTTTATAGCAGAATCCGGATGTCTACGAGGAAAATAATGACAATTTTAAATGTAAAAGTGGTTTTGTTTGAAGCTTGCTGGACAGGCGTCTTGTGGCTGGCGTAGTGACCGCACACAGGAATATGTGTGAATTTTCCATAAAATTGTGCTAAGTTTAAAACGGGAAGAAAATTTGTTTTTAGAGAGCAGTTGCAGGGTTACTCATAGAGTATTTAAACATAATCGTCGTCGTGCCAGGTATCACAGGCATCCGGAAGGGTAGCAACAGAGTGAGGTAAGACGAAGCCGAAGCTATAATATGTTCCCCATTGTCTTCCTTTTATTACAATAGGGTGTACATTGCTTCGGCTTCGGCGGCATCGCGTCCTCGCCTCACCTTTATATTTCGTCATTTTTTAACAATATTTGGAACAATAATAATTGTGTGATAAACTAATTGCGTACGTATTCTTCCAAAAATGGTATTCATTATAAATCAACTAAAGGTCATTTGTTAACGAGGACACCATTTTAAATCAGTCTCCTCAACTTTTACTAAAAAACGGCCAAGAGAAAACTGGAGCGATATGCTTATTACTTATACAATATGCGCGTCCCTATATACTCGAATATGCTCCATATTAAACCGATTATTTAATCACAATAAGGCTTTGTGCTCTGTAATCCTAAAAACAATTAAAACTTAAGCACGGAAAACTTTGTGTACTTTGAAAATTACAAAAAAAAGTGAAAAAAGAGGGATGCGCCGACGCGTTTAAAACACGCCCCAAATTATAATAAGGGATGCTTTCAACTTTATTAATCTGAAAGTTCATGTACAACACTGAAAAACATTCAGAAACGTCAACCAGGTACGAATCTTTTGCAACTTTTCGCCTAACAGAGTGTCGTTGTCTTTCCAGGTTAATTATCGCAATGTTCCTCGGCATTGGCATCCTTCTTACGGTCGCCTCAATTAGCGGTACGCAAAAAATTGTTAACGCCGATCTTGAGCGCGTCGATCCAATTAACACGTTAGATTGTCATCGAAGATTGTACACTTACCGCGTGACACAAAGTGATGAAAATGGCAAAGAGTGTTGGGACACCCTTTCGGTTTTGTCTTGTTGGGGGAGGTGCGATTCCAATGAGGTAATTTAAATTTCTATGTGTGTGCATGAAAAAATTAATTAAATGGTCATGAGCTGCCACAATACCACACCAAAAAATCAATCCCAATCATACTGAAAAGAATGTGCGGCTAATGAACCGCTGTCCCTTCTTTGTTTCTGTTATAATTGGAACGAGCCGTTGATTTTTATTTTGACGTAAACCTCCCCGTCGCAATTTTACAAATATTAAATCTGTAAAATGGCTGTAAACTTTATGTAACCGCGTTCGGAATTTAATATCAGGTTTATATTTATTTAATCGACACGATGCGTTTTATGAAAAATTTCCCCCATAAAACTCTTGTAATTTAGATTTCAGATTGGCGATTTCCGTACAAGAAGTCCTTGCACCCCGTTTGCGTTCATCATGGTAGAAACAAAGCGTTGGCCATATTAAGACACTGCGAAGAAGGCGCACTTCCTTCCGCCGCAAGATACGAATATTTGGAGGCTGCGGGATGTCGATGTCAAGCTTGCTCTTCGTCGGATACAAGCTGCGAGGGGTTAAGGTATCGGCCGCATCGCTCGCAACCTGATTTAATCGGATTTGGAAATATGTAACTATTGCTAATTATACAGAGAAGTAATTTCTTGATAAGATAAAATACAATTTATGCTTTAACAGTTTTTATTTCGCGCCCCGCTTGATTGACAGCTCAAAGCTCAAAGGGGGTGAATTATTAGAAATCCTGAAAAAATTAGCTGCCGAACGGATAACTGTGGTTATAAGAACGTTTTATTGGAATTATACGTGGAACTGAATATTACTATCAATATTTAAATTATGTCCACTCCAGTTCAATTTTGTTCCGGGATTAACCGCAATTTTCCCTCTGCAATTCCCTTATGCGTCGACATGCCAAACATAACTGTTTACCCATTTCATAAGATTTATGGAGAATGTTATTTTAATGAGAGAATGTTGTCAAAAGTTCGTGCTTTATTCATGAAAGATGATTATTTCCGTCTACCTACAGGGCGTAAATAAAAGATTACAAAAAACTAAGATAGTAGGGGACTTGTGGGAGTCAAATTGAACGAATGCATTCGCACCTCCAGGTAAATTAGCCCTCGGTATCCCTGAAGATTCTCCCTCGAAAGATTTGTCTAAAAGAAAAATTCGACCCTTCGCCCTTCTGATAGAAAGCTTGCTCTTGAAATAAATTCTTTATAGTTTGATTCCTTCTGTGACGACCATCGGTAAATTTGACTTAAAAAATTTACCCCCAAGAAAATTTATCCCAGGTATATTCGCCCCCAAGAGAATCGATCTCTGAAGATCTGTCATCGGAAAATTCTCTCCGGCGAAAATTCGTCTCCAAAAAAACACGCTGGAATATTAGCTGGCTAGGAACTTTGTTTTCCAAAAGAAAATTTGTATCAAGACTAAACATCCCTTCTATTTCCGTTACAGTATTAGGTACCGGAAAATTCTCCTTCGAAAGATCTGTCACACCGTCAAATTTTTACCTTTAAAAATTTGCCCTCAAGAAAATTCACTTCCAGGTAAATTCACCACTAGAAGATCGTCTCCTGGAAATTCGATCCGGGAGATTCTCTCCGAAAACTGTCTCCGAAAGTTCTCAAATTCGATTGATTCACCAGGCTTTTGTTTCAGAGGAAAAAGAAAACCCGATCGAAATTTAAAAAACTCGCCCTCGAAACAAATGATGGTGTACTCAGTTTTAAAGTTACCCTATATTTCTTTTATAGCATCCGCTACCGTAAATAGGTTCTGAGCTTTACTTAAAACGTGGCACAAAGGAATTTGCTGATTTTTCGCGCCCATCTGTCCGTCTGCACCTCGTCTAACTCGAGAATGAAAAGAGACAGCGATGCCAAACCGACGCCAATCGATTTCTTCGAATTCAACGATCAGTGCCATTGAAGAGCCGGATTAAAAGATTGGTTTCCGAATGCGAGCTGAGTATCAAAAAATTCACATGCAATAATTCTTCGTAGAAATTATTGGCAAAGGTTCGATATCGCTGTCTCTTTTTATTCTAGAGTTACGCAGACGGGCAAACCATCACAAAAGGGGAATTTGTTTTCTTTCAAAAAATTCCCCTAAAAATCACCAGGTCTCATAGGGTGAGCCATATCTAATTGATATCTGATATAAAATTCTCTTTTGCAATATTATTTACAACTACCTCAAATTCAAGTTTTTATTAAAGTTTAAAAGAAGAACGCATTCCGTAACCATATATTCAATATTCAAAACATCACTTACTCTGGCAAAAATTCACAGATTTCGCAAATCATACAACCATCGGAGACATTGGAAATGATAACCGTATAACGCCGTCTGTAAAACACAACTAACTCTTATTCGCTCGGATCACGTAAACCTTCCGAAATAATAAGCGTCATAACATGCGTGTACTATTAAAAGAGATAACATAATTGAGCACTATTAAGTAAGTACCGTATCGACAATATCCGAGACTTTTCCTTAATCTACCGATCACGGCCGAGTACGGTACAATCGCCACTTGATACGACACAGTAGTTTTTTGGCCTTGAACGAAACTAATAACTTTGTTACTATATACCAAAACATGAACATTTCTAATGTTAAAATTTTCCTTTGGTTTTCATGCGTGCAAAAAAACCTAATGAGCTGAAATTATTTTTTAAATTAGGAAATTTTTCGTTTAATGAAGTAAAACAGGGAACTTAAAAAAATGAATTCCGATGAAGGAAAGTTTTTAGATAATTTTCAGTTTTTTAATGGTGCAACATATTTTCCATGTCTACAAATCCCAGAGTACAAGCAACTAAAAAAAACTTGACCTGAACATGAGAGGAAAAATTAATTTTAAGGAAACTTAAGAGGAGTTTGATGGGAACCGGGAAAAATAACAGCCGATGAGGAAATTACTTGAGGGGTAACTCGGCGAAAGCTTAAAGAGGAATTTGAGAAGAACAGTGAACTTGATGGAAATTTGAGAGGATTTGATGTGAACTTACAGGGAATTAGAGAGGCACATGACTCAAATGATTGATAAGATTGAGGGTATTGAAAACAGCTTAGGAGGAATAGGCGAACGCTGATGAAAACTGAAGAACATTTGATGACAGGAAAAGAGCAATAACGTTTAGAGAAACTTGATAGGCTTTAAGAGAAAATTGACGAGGAAGCTTAAGAGGAAATTGAGAATAATTTGAGAGCAACTGATGCAAATAACTTTAGGGGCAACTTGACGAAAGCTTATAGAGGAATTTGAGAAGAATAGTGAACATTTGTGAGGAATTGATATGACCTTGCAGGAAAATGGAAAGGCACACGACGCGAATGGACGATGAGATCGGGGGCATTAAAAACAGCGTATGAGGAAACTAGGTGAACCTTGAAGGAAATTTGAGGAGAGGAAAAACCAATAACTGATGTAAATAATAGAATAAATTATTTGAGAAGAACTTGAGGGGCAACTCTAGGAAAGCTTAAAGAGGAACTTGTGGCGAACAGTGGACTTGATGGATGTGTGAGAGGCACATGGCGCAAATTATGGGATAAAGGGCATTGGAAACAGCTTATGAGTAAAGTAGGTGAACTTTGAAAAGAATTGAAGGAAATTTGAGGAGCGGAAAATAGCAATAAACGTTTAGGGGAAGGAAGTTTAAGTAAGAGGAAACATAATTTGAGAGACACTGATGCAAATAATAAAAGATTAGGGAGGAGTATGGAAGGAATTTGATGAGAGAGAACTTTTAGTTTGAAAGCAACTTGAGTATTTTAAAGAAAGTTGAGGAGCAACCCGGCGAATGCTTTTAAAGAGAGACTTGAGAAGTAGCTCGGTTGCAAATAAGTTGTTTTTTTTATTAAACGGGAAATTGCAAGGAGAAAACTGTGTCATAATATTGGCTATTTACTAAACTTCTACCTGTCACAAGTTTGGAATAGTTTGAAATTTCCTAGCTCTAGATAAATCAATAGTCTGAAATTGAATCCCTAATAATTTACAGAAATATCTTTACACTTCAAATGCACATTAATTTTTTGATTTCACATTGACAAATTAGGTTAAAGACAACCCCTGAGCATGATTTACTTCACAGTGAAATTTAATGAAATTCCTTTGATGCCGAAAGAGAAAGTTTGATTAGAATGAACAACAAATTCAGGAGATCCTTTTGATAATTCACATTAAAAAGACAATATTTCACATTGTTCTCGACTACTTTAGGATCTTTCATTTAAACTTTTAAGCGTCACGAATTCATGATAAACTAGGACAAAATTTAACTTTTTATAACGCATCGTAAAATTAATAAAAATATGCATTGGATTTTTTGAAGATTGATTGGAAAATACAGACTGTCTCCGGATGCTGATTCTTCTGTTGGTTAGTATAATTTGGTTCCGCAAAGGTCATTAACTTAATTGGATGTTAATAAAAGTTCGTTTAATGCTAGGAAATCTCTCAGATCAACTTTTCTACTAACTGCCTTTTTTTTAATGGCACAAATACGAACTTGAATATTATTTGATTTTATTAACAGTTTTCTTTGTTGTAATTTCACGTTTGTTCTTAAAAAGGGACTGTTTTTTACTGACTGAAATCGACACGACACTGGAATGCGTAGATACCCTCGTGAACTGGCACTTTTTTGTTAACTATTTGTCACGATTTATGCAAGTAATTTACGCCGAGTGTCGCGGAATTAAAATTCACTTTTTTTCCACCGGGGCAAAAAATCAGCTGGTTAAAAATGGACACTACAGTCGCCTTAAAAACTACTTCAAACTGTTCTTTTTAAAGCTCGGTTATTTCCGAACGCTAATTTTGCTATGGTTTTGGCACAAAGGCCGCTAATTGAATCTTTCTCGGACGCTTAAATACCAATTTGTTCTGACCCGGTTGAGTACCCAAACCAAAATGCTTAATTTCGTGCAAAATAATCCCCTCTCTCAATGTTATAAGGCCCAGTTGTACAATGTCAGTTTAAGCTTCAGTTTATAGTTAAATTGTGGGTTAAAGGATTCGATTGGCTAATATTTCACAAGTTGACCAATCGTGTTTCTGAAACTAATCTAAAGTTTAAACTGACACAGGTTCCTGTAATATCGAATCCTAATGCACCAGATGTTCGAAGAAAGGCTATTGAGCCCACTTCTTTTCCCAATATAGGTGTTATTAACAGAAAAAGACTAAAAGACCGGAACAAGAAAGAAAATTGCTGTACTTTTCACTTCTGTGATAAAATACGCCCTCCTAAATTGACCTTTCGGTATATTCGCTCCTGGAATTTTCACTCGCACGCAAAATTTGGTCCTAGAAAAGTCGTCGAATATTACCTAGTGTGAACGAAACTATTTGACTGGGGCGAATATCTTCAGGAGGAATGTTCCGTGGGTAAATTTACAAACTGGCATAGGAAGAGAGACTTTTTCAGAAATTTTCTTTGCTGCGGAAATTACTCTGAGGGAGAAGATTCCGCCATTTTGTGGGGTAAATTGAATCGTTGCACCACAAAAACGTGCCATGAATATCAATCGTATATATCTATATAGGAGAAAAGTACTAATTGTACTTTGGGAATTAAATCATTTTAAAA